AAGATAAATAAATGACAGATATTTCAGTAATTGATAAAAAATATTAAGGATAAAAGAGCAAATTAATATCTAAACTTTATGTTTATAAGCATTTAGGATGCTAAACTTATTTTTAGTGTAATGTTCTCCTTTAATTTTTAAAAATAATGCAATCTAACTCTTACCGTTAATAAAAGTTAATGTTGATTGCTAATTGATCAAAAAATATTAAATAAAAATATCAAAGTAAAATATAATTACCTCAGATTAATTTTACAAAACTTACAAAGACCTTATCTTTATTTTTTTGAATTTTGATAACCTATAAAAATTTATGTCATCTCAGCACATTTTCTTACAATTTCATATGCTTTTTGATGAAATTGTGCATGCTTTTTGTACATATAAAAGGAAAATGTGCATATCTTACACTTGGGTTTAAATGACAAAATCTTGGTGTAAATTGTGCATAATTCTTTATCTTGGTATAATTAATCTTGGATTCACAAAATTTCATGCCTTCTTAGATTGTTAGAGCATTATTTAAGGAGTAAAGGAGTTAGGAGGTTATTACATTAAGAAAAAGTCAAGACAAAGAGTGAAGAATTAAGCCTTAGCTCAAGTACCTTCAGCCTCAGTTGAAAGTCAGAGATAGCATACTACTGACGCGTTTTGGCTGTAGTTGAGAAAGAATTGGTTGCAGCTGAAGTCTTGACTAAGAGGTTTTGCTTGCAGCCAAGGAAAAATTGGTTGTAGTCGAGAGATCCTGACCGAGAGGTTCTAGCCGCAACCAAGGAAGAATTGGTCGTAGCCAAAAGCCTTTTATTAAATTTGTGCGTTTTTGAATCAGACTTGAAGCTAGAGTTACATATGAGAAATTGTTGCACTTTGAAAGGGGAGCTAAAATTTTGAGAGGTTCCTTGAGGCTTGATTTGCTAAAGTTTAAGGTTCTTGAAGGAGATTTGGCTAAGGATTGAAGTTTTAAAGAGATTCAAGTAGATTTCCTTTGGTTTTTCTTCTTCTCTCCCCTTTTCTCTCTTTGTATTTGATATGGATGCTGTATATTGTGACATTTATGGCTCTTTTTCTAAATATGGATAGCTAGTTCTCATGTTCTAGGATTATTTTAAACCTTTGTATGGATTAAAATTTCAATATTCCTCTCTTTTGGTAGTTAATGATATCTATGAATTTATTTTATCTTATGCTCAATGCTTTTAAGTGCTTGATCACTATTTGGATTATTTTGTTCATTTGAATTGTACTTGAGAAAGCTAATTTAGGTGTAGAACTTGGATAAAATAATGTTGGTCTTGAAATTTACAAAGTTAAATGGATGGTTTTGTTGGTAAAATAGAGATATTTTATTAATTCCCTATATTTACATTAAGATAGGAGCTTAAAATTTGTTTTCACTAATTATTTTCAAGAGATTGCGAAATTTTAGTGTTTTCAAATATACTTGATTTTGACTTGAGAAAGCTTTTTCAAAGTAAATTGGAATCTTAGACTAACAGTTATTTTCATTAAAAATCGAATTAATTTAAGTCTTATGAAATATAAAGGAGAGAAATAATCCTAGATCCTCACCTCTAAAAGTCAAGATTTCAGCAAGTTTTAATTACTGTAAAACAATTTTAATCTAATTTTCATTATTTTTACACAAACACACTCTTGATTTTCTTAAACCTATCTTAGAACTTAATAGTGAATTTTAACTTTCATTTGCCTAAATTCTCGTGGAAACGATAACTCTGAAATATTCTACACTTGTGACAACCCGTACGCTTGCAGTACTGCTTGATGGCCAACAAATTTGCATTTTAATTTTCTTTTAATGCCTTTTAAAATAATCTATTAAATATTCTAATATACTTAATTTTATTAATTATTTATTGAAATTATGTCCAAAAAATTTTCAAATTATTGATTTAATTTTTCCTCATGATCTAATTGTCTTCTCCCTTTTTAAAGAATTTAAATAATTAATTATATCTATATTCAAAGAAATATTTTACAAAAAATAATAAAATTAATAAACTATTCAAGTTAATAGAGTTTAAAAGTAACATAAACTTAAATTATAATAAGATTAGTACACAATGCAAACCCTAAAATATATGTTTAGGGATGATTTAAACTCTAAACTCGTATTTATTATATTTTGTACCCTAAACAATTAAACTTACCATTAAATCAAAATAAATGTCCATGTTCAATAAACTTATTCATAGACAAGAAATAATAATAAGCCTCATTCAAGAAACAACAAGTTCATGTTTTCATTTTAACAACAATCCATTTCACATTAATTCTTGCCTATAAATAAATTTTTTGAGCGGTCCTTGAATTGATTCTCCCTATTTAAAATGCAACTAACTCTCCCAATTATTTTTCCAATTCCGATATATCAGATTTGTTGAGGTCGTATATAATTATCTAAGGTGTTTATCGGAGGGGAGTGGCATAAATATATTGTAACAGTCTACTTTGTTAAAACAATATTTATTAAAACCCACCATGGACATAGACGGGACTTTTTGTTTTCTTTTTGGAAAACTTACCATGATACAAGAGACTTTACAATAGTAGAAAATAATTGAACGTTTTTAAAGAAAATTATACAATGGTAGAAAAAGGTTTCCCTTAATTAAATAAAACCATTTCAAAATCGATTATCATGATAGAAAGGATTCTATTATGTTAGGAAGAATTAAATTTACCAAATAGACCTACCATGATAAATAGTAATTCATTAAAATAAAAAGGTTCACCAAATGGGATACCATTTCCAAAACAAGATTTGAAAACTACATTATGTAATAAATTATATACACAAGAAATCAAAGTTCCTAGGGACATTTTAAAACTAAAACATCACATATTATATAATATGAACTGGGAGGTGAAGGACTAATTTAGACCTAGAGTGATAAACATAGATAACTAAATTAAGAATAATTTAGGATTTATAATAATTTAGATCGTAGCTTAACGGTTCATTCAAGGTCTCAATAAGATTAGTGGGAGGTAATTCATTCTTGGATAAATACACACTAATATGGTGAAAGGTAATTAGAATATCTTAAAAACAATCGTCATTATAAATAAGGGAAAAAAACATAATTAATTTAGAGCAAGCCATCCCAATAGGTGAATCCCAATCCCTAATGTTTGATCGGTTCTTTGGTTTTCTATTTTTATTGTTGTTCTTTATTTTGCATTAATTAAATATAAATCCCTTTTTCAAATATTTGCTTTTCTAAAATAACAAAGTTAACTGCTTTTCTTTGGGTTTTACTCCAAAAAAAAAAATCTGAAAATTATTACTATATCAATCACATGTACTTGCGGGAGTGATCACCTAGAATACTTTGGGATTTTATTACTACATCAATCCCATACACTTATGGGAGAGATCACTTCCATTGCCAAATAATGATTCATAATTTAGAATTTTGCAAATAACCCGCACGAATGAAGGTGTATATATGTATCTTTGCAACTGAAGATCAGTTTAGGATTAGGTGCGCCCCTTTTAAGGATGATTTTTATGATAGAAAAACAAATTTAATTTTGAAATATACAATGTTTCTGATTATATTCAATGTATCTAATCTTCTTCCTTTTCATATGTTGAGTGTTCGTGGATTCCTTAAGAATTATGAGTGGTTATGGAATAAAATAATTAAGATTTATTTACAAAAATATGTTTTGGCCAAAAATATATGCAAATCTTTCATTAAGATCCTGTATTTAAGAGAGAAAAACCTTTATTAAAAAATATTTTAGTGATAAAGTAATGAAATTTGAAAGAAAAAAACAATAACAGAATGCGTAAATTTTAGAGAGGAGTAACGGAGTAGGCTAGAGTAGTTTTCTAATTCACTTTCATTCATATATGTGTAAAAGACTTGGAGATTGTCCTCCAATCATAAAAGACTAACACATCCTTATCAAAACAACGACGACGACGACGACAATAAAGAATGACCACATGGGTTTACTTTGTATAACATAATGGTATTCATTAACCAAAATCAAGGATTCATTGATGCATTTGGTATACACAAATAATTTTTAGCTAGATTTTTTTGCAATGTATATAAATTAATAATATTTATTAATTTTGTATATTTAATGCTTTAGATGTAAAAGAATGGAGTGAGACAATAGTAATAAGGTAGAAATGAATATTATTGTTCTTGTCTGTGTATGTTTTAGAGAATAAAGGAGCATGTAAACAATAAAATTCTAATGTCCAAGATTTAAATTTATTTACCTTTTAGAAAAGCCATTTTTTTTCCAAAACTTTTGGTTAAATCTTTTTCATTATATGACATTCCGTAACTGCCCATAATTCCTTATTCATTGGCATTAGCATCACCAGACACTCATCAACATAAGGAAAGGGGGAATTAGATACATTATATAATTGAAAATTTAAATGCTACTCTATAATTAATAATTAATCATTAAAAAAGACCTATACCTGAATATTCCCTCTCCCTCTCTCACACGGGCCTGGATTCTCTCATCTTCCTTCCCTTCCTCTTCCATTCTTTTCTCTTTTTAGCTATTAGATCAAGATTTAGATGGTTTAGATTTGATATCCTATAAAATTATTATTACAATATTAAATTATAAAAAAATAAAATTCAAAATCCTAAAATTTAATAAAAAAATTTAAAAATACAGTAAAAATAAAATAAAATGATATGTTTTGAAGGAGATCAAATCTAGATCATTCAAAATTTTAATTTAATGGTTCGAAATTAAGAGGAAGGGAAGAGGATGGGAAGGAAGAGGAGAGAATCCTCTCCCCTCTCACACCCACACACGCAAACATACAATCACCCTTTCACACACTGGCACGTGCAGAGGCACACGTTTATTTATATGTTATTGATAAAAAATTCTCGAGAAAAAGATAATATTAAATTAATTGTTTGTGTGGCAAAGGGTCGGGTCCCCTTTTAATTCTCTCTTTTTGTAAGAGAGCTTCTTGTTTGTCGGACCGGTGGATGTAGGTTACTCTCTCCCTTGTGTTCTCAATGTGAGGGGGTTTGAAGTAGGCGCGCTTGTTTTCCGGCTAATGAGAGTGCTTGGATGGTGATGGATCATCTCTTCGATTTGCAATCTCATGGTGAATCACCCAGATCTGGCTTCCCTGAGTTGCGATGGAGGTATGTTTTGCTTAAACTTTTCAAACATTGTAATTTTATTTAGATCCAGTATGAAACGCTTCATGGCTGGTGAGTTCAAGGTGTGGGTTTTGCAAGCTCATGATTCAATCTCTATCGTGACGATGGTTAATTATGATCTAAAAGTTTCCCCTTTGAAATTTTGTTGGTGCGCTTTTGCTTTCTGCTTTAGGTTATTTTGGGTCATGATCGATTTTTGGCATTAGGTTTTATCGATTGACATACAAGGATTGACTAGAAGCCAGTATTTGGGGCCCAAAAAATGAAAAATTTTCACCAGTGTGGTGGGCTAAATTAATTTCAACATTCTTTATAAACAAAATAAGAATTTTTTTCCCTTAAAGTTGTTAGTTTTTTGCTTAAAGTTTTTCTGTTTTTGTTAGCAAAAATTTTGTCTTGTTTTTGCACTAATCTTTTTGTTTGCTTAGTGTTTTATCTTCATTTATGGTTGGCTTGATTTAAGGGGAAAAAACTAATTGACTGTGTGGGTTTTTATTTTCACACTCATTGTTAACCATGAAGTCTGACAAAGCATACGATGATGATGAAGATAAAGTGGATAAAAATATCATTCAGTATTATGGCGTGTGTTGAACTATGCCTATCAAATCAACGATATACCAAAGGTACATTAATGTCTATTTTAATTTAATTTGGTATATATATATATAAGCATATGGTTAAACCTTTATAACATCTTTTGATTCTTCTCTGCAAATAATTCTAGATGATATGATATTTCATTGATCATGTAAGCTAATTAGATAAATCATTTTCATGCTACAAGCACATACAACAAATTAACATCATTTGATATTGTTTTGTGGTCATATTAATCTGATTATTCTTTAACAACATAAATTTATAAAATCTGATAAACTTCCCTTTTGTTGAAGACCAAAGCGGCAATGGACTGAGACGAGCAAAAGAGGTTCAACTAAACCATCCAATTAATTTCCTAGTTTTGTCATGTTTATGTTATTATTTACTCAATAATAATGACTTTTTTTTTAATTTAATAGAAAGTTTGTAAGTTAGGCCTTGTAAGTTCTAAGTGGAATGACTAATTTTGTAGGTGGAATCAAAACCTGGTGAAGTCTATGCTCGATTCCTGACTCAGGAGTGAGTAATTTTTATGCCTTCCACTTATTTTGCTTTAAATCTATTCAATCTATTTAGTTAATGTGTTACAACCAGCTATATATTAGCATTTTACAATAAACACAAACTAAGACTTGTCACTTATTACACCAAAATAGTTTAAGCTGCTTTGGAAGAACTTACCACACACTTATATAATTGTAATTAATTCTCTAATTACTCAATATGAGTCTATCATACATCTAATACAATAGACTTTCAAGTTACTTATACTTTTCAAATACATCCTTATCACTAAAATGTGTGTTTTGTGGGTTTATTCAGATTGATCCAAGGGTTCCTGATGCAACCAAACCTCAAATATTAACCACCTATGTTACTAGCACGCATGGAATTCTCACAAAGAAACAAAGTCCTATTCATTCATCTATGATTTCAAGCCAAACCTTGCATCTAGGGTAGTTGCGACGGCTAGTCATGCAATCATGATTGGCAACATGTTTCCAGTCTATTACAAACCCACAAGTCTTTGGTTTTGATGTTCATGACAATGTATGCTAATTGCTGAGATCGTGAAGCTTAATATAATTTATGTTGGCATTGAGGATGGAGACAATCTAGATGTTGTCATGAGCACAAATTCAAAGAAAAATCTCATTCCAAAAGACTAGCCTATTTGGTGAAAGAATTCCTCACACTAACCCCACTCCACTTATAAGGCTTGCCTATGTAGGACTCATGATAGATTCTTTATTGAATTTTCATTATCATTTGTTAATCTTTTCTCCCCAAAATCAATGACATACCAAAGGTATATCAATGGTTATTTGTCATCATATATTCATTTTCATTTTTATACATACATGCATGCATACATACATGTATATGTATATGTATATGTATGTTCTTCAAATTGTAATATGTTCACACGCATGCAATGCCTTTTTTCATTAGGGTTGAATAATATGGGTTTATTATTAAGTAATTTTTGTTTCTTTGGACTTTTTCTAATGGTTAAGATGTCTATTATTATTATTATTATTATTATTATTATTATTATTATTATTATTATTATTAGATGTTCGATGACGAGAGAGGTGGAGATGAATTGAAGGGCATTAATGGAATTAAGTTATTTTACATTTTGATTCTCGCATGTCTGACTTTGACTTCTCTACAAAAAAATCGTGTAAATTCATTTGTACTTCCATCTCACATAGGATTGTCAAGTTTTGTTCCTCAAAGTTGGGCATGGGTTTCGAAAATGGCACATCGTTTAAAACAAGCACAAATAGGTGTGTTGTGAAATTATTTTCTTTCCTTTTTAAATTACAATAATGACACCATCCAATTGGTTGCATTGATTATTTAACAGATTCACATAAAATGATCGACATAGAAAGGCATTTTCATGCAAGTTATTGTGAATAATATACTATAACAATTAAAGGACTATGTTATTTTAACAGTAAAGATGTTAAGATAATTCAGTAATGAGCTCAATGAAGGAGCCATAAAAAAATCTCGTGACCAAAATATCTATAGTAGAAGAATGATATGTATGCAAAACAATTTAGGGCTTCGTCTTTGGAGACACAAACCTTTACAAATAAGTCAATTTGTTTAATACCCTATTCTATTTTGTGAATTATTTGACCAATGATTTGTGAATAACCTCCTAGAAGAAGTTGATTAGGAAAAAAAAAAAAAAAACTCCTAGAAGAAAGGTATGTATACATGTATCTTTGCATGCGAGTGTCAGTTTAGGGTTTGGTGTGCTTCTTTTGAAGATGATTTTTAATCACAAAAGTGAAATTGATTTATTTTTCAAACATAAAATACATCTAATTTTGTTGTTTTTCATATGATTAATGTTAGTGGACGGCAAAGATGTATGAGTAGTTATGGAATAACATAATTTATAAGATTTATTTACAAAAAACATGTTTCAAAGTTTGGCAAAAGTTTCTTTTGTTTTAGATAAGTTATCGAATTAAAAGTGAATTTTTTATTAAATTTAAAAGTATGAATAAAATAAAAATAAAGCCAAAGAATAAATCCGAGTTAAGATCAACAATTGAAGAGCTCCCTAAGAATTCTAATCTCCTTTTATAGTTAGAAATTCAATTTATTTTGGTTATCATGTTTTAATTTTACTTTAAAATCAGGGATCTAAATTAGATTATGTATTCATCGATTACAAAACCCATAATCTAATTATACTATGATGTCTCAAGCAAGTCCTGATCCAATTATACTCAAGCCTTAAAATATTAACTAGGGCTCTTGAGTATATTTCTATCTCAAGCTCAAATTAGATTAAATCCAATTCTAAGTTGCTTAATGCATAGTCTAATTTTGTAAGATATTGTTTAATTTTGCATTTGAATTCTAAATCAGCTTCTGTCGCCTGTTTGCTCTCACGTCCGCGCACGGTCGTATCCTTCTTCTCCATGTCTTTGTATGTGAAGATTAGTTTAAGGTTAGGTGTGCCTCTTTTGAAGATGATTTTAATCATAAAAGCGAAACTTATTTAATTTTCAATACAATGTATCTAATTTTTTTTTCTTTTCACATATTGAGTTTTAGTGGTTGACAAAGTATTATGAGTAGTTATGGAATCACATAATTAAGAAAATTTATTTTCAAAAAATATGTTTCAAAGGTTGGCAAAAAATATGTGTAAATCTTTCATTAAGATCCCTATATTTAAGAGAGTAAAACCTTTCTTAAAAGATATTTTAGTGGCAAAGTAATAAAGTGACTATATAACAACAAATTATAAAACTAATGGAAATGTCATACCTCAATAGTAAGGGTATGATTGGCATAGAATATGAGGTGACTTATTTTTCATAAGCCTTAATTAACCAGATATTAAATTAAAATATCAATATATGTAAATTATATATAATAATATCGTTAGTAAAGAATTTTTTTTTTAGAAATTTTGACAAAATCAATCTCCTCTATAAATTGATCCTCCTGAAATTTCCACAAACACATAATCTGTCAACCAGACTAGCAAGGAGATTTGCTCCATTCTAACAATTTACATAATAACAAAATAAGGCTAGGATTTAACTATGATGTACATGGATCACTAACTTACAATTTGCAAAATATAATACAAAGTTTTATCAAAAAGGATAATCACCATGTGCTTTCTTTTTTCAAGAAATGTAATAGGATCCCTCAATGGTTCCTAGGAGGCACAAGTCTGGTATAATATCTGAGATCAAAGAAATTTTTAGCAAGTAGCATTCCAATTAAAAATTATAATAAAATTTATGAAAATAGAACTAATAAATTTAATTTACACAATTTAATGAAATGTTAAAAGATATATATACATTCTAGAACTAACAATAAGAAACAAGTTTGCTCAATGGTTCAATTGTGAAATTTAACAATGCTAATAGAATCATATAAATCATCATAATTTGCGTACACATAAAATATAAAATTTAAAAATTTAAGTAACAATACAATTAGGTAGAATGCTAATGAATTTTTAATTATAATTTACGAGAGCTTTATTAGAACAAAGCCGTGGACACACAATCTGTAAGAGCAAAGAGCCAATCAAGCATGGACATACAGTCTACAAAGGTAAATAACTAATAAGCACAACTTAAAGTTACGAAATAATCAAGCACGGCTAGAAGCCATGAAATAAGTATGAGTATAATGCTCACGAATATACATCCCTCCGTTCCACTTGCATTAGCCTGTGCACAGGGCTAGCACATCCTACAAATACCCTGCTAGCTAGGTGTACCATGACACGTCAAGGGCTAATGAAATTGCCGTTAGTATCTAGCATTTTGAACTTAATCCCCCTCAGTAAAAATCAAGCATGGATAGGGTAAGAAAATAGTTCCAACATCTTCACTAGCAAATAACTATAATAACTTAGAAAATTATTATTAAAATTTAAACTTTGGTATGTAATTTTGAATAAGCTATAAGAAATGTTCTCATTAGACTTGAATAAATCAAAATTTTTTTCTTCATTCTTTTTAATTTTTTTGCAATTTTGATTTGTTTCATAATTATTTAATTATACTACTATTATTGTAAAGACCCAAAATCTTAAGTAAAAATTTATAATTTAAAATGAGGAATTTTAAATGTATTTATCTTATTTTATTTTGGGCCAAATATAGCAAGAAAAGCATAAAAGCTTAGTGAAAACTTTATTCGTGTTTAATCTTTGGTGCTTGGTTCGAATCCTCAAAATAAAAAGTAGGATATTTATTTTTATTTTAGTGAAATCCTTATCTTACCCTTAATAATAATAATAATAATAATAATAATAATAATAATAATAATAATAATATAAAAGTACTGAATCAGAACCCAGCCCAAAACACAAATGTATTGATGACTTCTAATATTTTATTAAATTTATTGGTGTTTTTAATATAATTGGAAGTTATTTATTTGAATTTTGTTAGTAAAAATATGATTAAGTGGATGAATGTACGTGAAAATGGGCTTGAAAATATGTTAGAAGTTAGTGAACCAATTCTATCATTCATTCTGGGTTTTATGTATATAGGCAGGCCCAATTTAGGGGCCCAAAGAAAAAAATTTTGGAGCCCAAGTCAAAGGAATTAAATCTGAAAAGCAAATCTAAATAGGTCATATTGGTTGTAATGAAAACGCGTTTCACTGCCGCAAAGCACAATTTTAATAAATCACACATCTTTTACTCTTAGCAAATTTTTAGGGCTTAGACACCTCATTTTCTTGCATTCTTCACCTTCAGCAGCTGCAAAACATCTAGGAAGAGGGAAAAGAGTCAAAGGAGGGTTGGAGAAGTTTGGGTTTAATGGAAAATAAGGGTTTCACTTAAAATCAATATGATTAAGCTTTTCTTCTTCTTCTCGTTACTTTGCTATGTTTATTGTTGATTTTGCTGTCTTAAAAGCCATATGTGGCTGATTTTCTCTTAATCTAGAGTAGCTATGAACTGATTCTTGAATTAGAGCATGTTTTAAACCATTTATTTAAGCTTAATATTAGTTTTATTTACTTAATTTCGTGCTTATTTGTCTATTTAATGCTTGATCACCATTGAATGTAAATTTAGGGGTTTAGGTTTTGCCTTGGAAGAGGAAAATTTGAATTAGACCATTAGATTGAGTAATGTGGGATTAGAATTTATTGTAATTTTCCAATGGGATAGAAATATACCTATTGGACCCATATAATCATATTAGAGTAGATTTATGTATTTTTGCCTCTTGGGTAATTGTGTTAGGAATAGCATATTAATTCAAGAGAAGGTTGTAATTAATCGAAAGATAATTATTCTTATTAATACTCTAGGTTAACAAATTAATATTAAGTGAATTTATTTGGATAATTACATACTTTATAAATTAAAGAAGAGATTAGTCACCCTAGATTGCCTTGATTGTTTGTGGTTGTTGGAATTTTAATTTTAGTGCATTTTTCTAATTTCAACCCTTATTTTGCAAAAATCAAATCCATATCTTGCTTTGCTCAACTTAAATGAAAATGAAAACTTTATTGTCTAATTACCAATTAACTTGATTCCTCGTGAGATCGACCTTAATTTGCCACTTACTAATTATAAACCATACACTTGCGGTAAAACATATTTGGATTCATCAAATTTTTGGCACTGTTGCCGAGGAATCTAGGCAAATGGTGGTTAGAAATAGAGGACCTTAAGTAGTTTTAGCTTGAGCATTTATTTTGTCCTTTTTTTTGTTAGTTTGTTCATTTAGATCCTTGATCTTATCTTATTTTTGTAGGACTATTTTGCATGCTACGCAAAGCTAGATTGAAA